TTAGACCACTCGGCCATCCTGACACACAAACAAGGAAAGACAAACGTTTTCTGCCACCTTGAAAAGTTAGCGAGTCAAAATAATTTAGTGTCCAAAGTGGATTATAAAACGGTAAAGACATGTCAGAAGTGGGGTTCGAACCCACGACTCCAATTGGAGACCAGAAGTCTCTTTACTGCATACAGAGCCGAACCTTAAGTCTGGCGCCTTAGACCACTCGGCCATCCTGACACACAAATAAAGGAAAGACAAACGTTTTCCTGCCACCTTGAAAAAGTTAGCGAGTCAAAATAAATTAGTGTCCAAAGTGGACTATAAAACGGTATAGACATGTCAGAAGTGGGGTTCGAACTCACGCCTCCAATTGGAGACCAGAAGCCTCTTTCCTGAAGAAGGAGTCAAACCTTGAGTCTGGCGCCTAGACCACTCGGCCATCCTGACACACAAACAAAGGAAAGACAAACGTTTTCTGCCACCTTGAAAAAGTTAGCGAGTCAAATAATTTAGGGTCCAAAGTGGATTATAAAACGGTAAAGACATGTCAGAAGTGGGGTTCGAACCCACGCCTCCAATTGGAGACCAGAAGCCTCTTTCCTGAAGAAGGAGTCAAACCTTGAGTCTGGCGCCTTAGACCACTCGGCCATCCTGACACACAAATAAAGCAAAGACAAACATTTTCTGCCACCTTGAAAAAGTTAGCGAGTCATAAATAATTAGTGTCCAAAGTGGACTATAAACGGTAAAGACATGTCAGAAGTGGGGTTCGAACCCACGCCTCCAATTGGAGACCAGAAGCCTCTTTCCTGAGAAAGGAGTCAAACCTTGAGTCTGGCGCCTTAGACCACTCGGCCATCCTGACACACAAACAAAGGAAAGACAAACGTTTTCTGCCACCTTGAAAAAGTTAGCGAGTCAAAATAATTTAGGGTCCAAAGTGGATTATAAAACGGTAAAGACATGTCAGAAGTGGGGTTCGAACCCACGACTCCAATTGGAGACCAGAAGTCTCTTTACTGCATACAGAGCCGAACCTTAAGTCTGGCGCCTTAGACCACTCGGCCATCCTGACACATAAACAAAGGAAACACAAACATTTTCTGCCACCTTGAAAAGTTAGCGAGTCATGAATAAATTAGTGTCCAAAGTGGACTATAAAACGGTAAAGACATGTCAGAAGTGGGGTTCGAACCCACGCCTCCAATTGGAGACCAGAAGCCTCTTTCCTGAGAAAGGAGTCAAACCTTGAGTCTGGCGCCTTAGACCACTCGGCCATCCTGACACACAAATAAAGCAAAGACAAACGTTTTCTGCCACCTTGAAAAAGTTAGCGAGTCATGAATAAATTAGTGTCCAAAGTGGATTATAAAACGGTAAAGACATGTCAGAAGTGGGGTTCGAACCCACGCCTCCAATTGGAGACCAGAAGCCTCTTTCCTGAGAAAGGAGTCAAACCTTGAGTCTGGCGCCTTAGACCACTCGGCCATCCTGACACACAAACAAAGGAAAGACAAACGTTTTCTGCCACCTTGAAAAAGTTAGCGAGTCAAAATAATTTAGGGTCCAAAGTGGATTATAAAACGGTAAAGACATGTCAGAAGTGGGGTTCGAACCCACGACTCCAATTAGAGACCAGAAGTCTCTTTACTGCATACAGAGCCGAACCTTAAGTCTGGCGCCTTAGACCACTCGGCCATCCTGACACACAAATAAAGGAAAGACAAACGTGTTCGGCCACCTTGAAAAAGTTAGCGAGTCAAAATAATTTAGTGTCCAAAGGGGATTATAAAACGGTAAAGACATGTCAGAAGTGGGGTTCGAACCCACGACTCCAATTGGAGACCAGAAGTCTCTTTACTGCATACAGAGCCGAACCTTAAGTCTGGCGCCTTAGACCACTCGGCCATCCTGAAACACAAATAAAGCAAAGACAAACGTTTTCTGCCACCTTGAAAAAGTTAGCGAGTCAAAATAATTTAGTGTCCAAAGTGGACTATAAAACGGTAAAGACATGTCAGAAGTGGGGTTCGAACCCACGACTCCAATTGGAGACCAGAAGTCTCTTTACTGCATACAGAGCCGATCCTTAAGTCTGGCGCCTTAGACCACTCGGCCATCCTGACACACAAATAAAGCAAAGACAAACGTTTTCTGCCACCTTGAAAAAGTTAGCGAGTCAAACTAATTTAGTGTCCAAAGTGGACTATAAAACTGTAAAGACATGTCAGAAGTGGGGTTCGAACCCACGACTCCAATTGGAGACCAGAAGTCTCTTGACTGCATACAGAGCCGATCCTTAAGTCTGGCGCCTTAGACCACTCGGCCATCCTGACACAAAAACAAAGGAAAGACAAACATTTTCTGCCACCTTGAAAAAGTTAGCGAGTCAAAATAAATTAGTGTCCAAAGTGGACTATAAAACGGTAAAGACATGTCAGAACTGGGGTTCGAACCCACGCCTCCAATTGGAGACCAGAAGCCTCTTTCCTGAAGAAGGAGTCAAACCTTGAGTCTGGCGCCTTAGACCACTCGGCAATCCTGACACACAAACAAAGGAAAGACAAACGTTTTCTGCCACCTTGAAAAAGTTAGCGAGTCAAAATAATTTAGTGTCCAAAGTGGATTATAAAACGGTAAAGACATGTCAGAAGTGGGGTTCGAACCCACGACTCCAATTGGAGACCAGAAGCCTCTTTCCTGAAGAAGGAGTCAAACCTTGAGTCTGGCGCCTTAGACCACTCGGCCATCCTGACACACAAACAAAGGAAAGACAAACGTTTTCTGCCACCTTGAAAAAGTTAGCGAGTCAAAATAATTTAGTGTCCAAAGTGGATTATAAAACGGTAAAGACATGTCAGAAGTGGGGTTCGAACCCACGACTCCAATTGGAGACCAGAAGTCTCTTTACTGCATACAGAGCCGAACCTTAAGTCTGGCGCCTTAGACCACTCGGCCATCCTGACACACAAATAAAGGAAAGACAAACGTTTTCTGCCACCTTGAAAAAGTTAGCGAGTCAAAATAATTTAGTGTCCAAAGTGGACTATAAACGGTAAAGACATGTCAGAAGTGGGGTTCGAACCCACGACTCCAATTGGAGACCAGAAGTCTCTTTACTGCATACAGAGCCGATCCTTAAGTCTGGCGCCTTAGACCACTCGGCCATCCTGACACACAAATAAAGCAAAGACAAACGTTTTCTGCCACCTTGAAAAAGTTAGCGAGTCAAAATAATTTAGTGTCCAAAGTGGACTATAAAACTGTAAAGACATGTCAGAAGTGGGGTTCGAACCCACGACTCAATTGGAGACCAGAAGTCTCTTGACTGCATACAGAGCCGATCCTTAAGTCTGGCGCCTTAGACCACTCGGCCATCCTGACACACAAACAAAAGAAAGACAAAAATTTTCTGCCACCTTGAAAAAGTTAGCGTGTCAAAACAATTTAGTGTCCAAAGTGGATCATAAAACGTTAAAAACATGTCAGAAGTGGGGTTCGAAACCCACGCCTCCAATTGGAGACCAGAAGCCTCTTTCCTGAGAAAGGAGTCAAACCTTAAGTCTGGCGCCTTAGACCACTCGGCCATCCTGACACACAAATAAAGCAAAGACAAACGTTTTCTGCCACCTTGAAAAAGTTAGCGAGTCAAAATAAATTATTGTCCAAAGTGGACTATAAAACGGTAAAGACATGTCAGAAGTGGGGTTCGAACCCACGCCTCCAATTGGAGACCAGAAGCCCCTTTCCTGAAGAAGGAGTCAAACCTTGAGTCTGGCGCCTTAGACCACTCGGCCATCCTGACACACAAACAAAGGAAAGACAAACGTTTTCTGCCACCTTGAAAAAGTTAGCGAGTCAAAATAATTTAGTGTCCAAAGTGGATTATAAAACGGTAAAGACATGTCAGAAGTGGGGTTCGAACCCACGCCTCCAATTGGAGACCAGAAGCCTCTTTCCTGAAGAAGGAGTCAAACCTTGAGTCTGGCGCCTTAGACCACTCGGCCATCCTGACACACAAATAAAGCAAAGACAAACGTTTTCTGCCACCTTGAAAAAGTTAGCGAGTCAAAATAAATTAGTGTCCAAAGTGGACTATAAAACGGTAAAGACATGTCAGAAGTGGGGTTCGAACCCACGCCTCCAATTGGAGACCAGAAGCCTCTTTCCTGAAGAAGGAGTCAAACCTTGAGTCTGGCGCCTTAGACCACTCGGCCATCCTGACACACAAACAAAGGAAAGACAAACGTTTTCTGCCACCTTGAAAAAGTTAGCGAGTCAAAATAATTTAGTGTTCAAAGTGGATTATAAAACGGTAAAGACATGTCAGAAATGGGGTTCGAACCCACGCCTCCAATTGGATACCAGAAGTCTCTTTACTGCATACAGAGCCGATCCTTAAGTCTGGCGCCTTAGACCACTCAGCCATCCTGACATAAAACGTTGCAGGCAAACAAAAGATGACAAAAATGAGAAATCATAAAATATCATGGTATTTCATGTTAAAAGAACCCGCAAAAAAGTAGGAATAAGTCAATGAAAAGCATGTCAAAATGCGTCAGTGTCCAAAGTGGACTATAATGACATGTCAGAAGTGGGATTTGAACCTACGCCTCCAATTGGAGACCAGAAGCCTCTTTCCTGAAGAAGGAGTCAAACCTTGAAACTGGCGCCTTAGACCACTCGGCCATCCTGACACACAAATAAAGCAAAGACAAACGTTTTCTGCCACCTTGAAAAAGTTAGCGAGTCAAAATAAATTAGTGTTCAAAGTGGATTATAAAACGGTAAAGACATGTCTGAAGTGGGGTTCGAACCCACGCCTCCAAATGGAGACCAGAAGCCTCTTTCCTGAAGAAGGAGTCAAACCTTGAGTCTGGCGCCTTAGACCACTCGGCCATCCTGACACACAAATAAAAGAAAGACAAACGTTTTCTGCCACCTTGAAAAAGTAAGCAAGTCAAAATAATTTAGTGTCCAAAGTGGATTATAAAACGGTAAAGACATGCCAGAAGTGGGGTTCGAACCCACAACTCCAAATGGAGACCAGAAGTCTCTTTACTGCATACAGAGCCGAACCTTAAGTCTGGCGCCTTAGACCACTCGGCCATCCTGACATAAAACGTTGCAGGCAAACAAAAGATGACAAAAATGAGAAATCATAAAATATCATGGTATTTCATGTTAAAAGAACCCGCAAAAAAAGTAGGAATAAGTCAATGAAAAGCATGTCAAAATGCGTCAGTGTCCAAAGTGGACTATAATGACATGTCAGAAGTGGGATTTGAACCCACGCCTCCAATTGGAGACCAGAAGCCTCTTTCCTGAAGAAGGAGTAAAACCTTGAAACTGGCGCCTTAGACCACTCGGCCATCCTGACACACAAATAAAGGAAAGACAAACGTTTTCTGCCACCTTGAAAAAGTTAGCGAGTCAAATAATTTAGGGTTCAAATCATAAAATATCTAACCTGTTACTTTGAGTGCGCAGTGATATCGAACACTCGAGTCAATGTGAACAGCAACTGTACATTATCGCCTAATAATTTACCCCCCATGACTCACTCTCAACCAATCACAATGCTGGATTTCATCTACCCGTATTATAAAAAACTATAATGACTTCTCAGAAGTGGGATTTGAACCCACCTCCACGACAACCTTCTACATAGGAAAGGAGATAATTCCGTCCACAATTCCTTTAAATACTTCTGTATTATTGGGCCCTTCAGGAGAAATATTAATCATGACGTGGAAACGCAGATCATGTGAGTAATTGTTAGCATGACTCATTTATGTTGCAGCCTTGTTAATAAAGTTTTACTTTGAATATGGTTGTTTGTGTCGTCTGCTTGACTCACATTGTAACAACACATGGAGGCATCTGAGATGCTTTTTTTTAGCCACTGCAGACTGACGTCACTAACATGCGTCTCCGCCCATCACAACTCGGCGATTCACTAAACACCACGTTGCCTTTTCCTGACTCTTCATGAACTCTCCCAACCACCTTTCCTTGACCCCGTGAGGTTTTGTATTTCTTTTGTATTTTTGTGAATGTCTGTTAGTATTTGGACTTGAGAAGCTTTTTCATCCGGCTTCTTGAAATGAAGGACCCATTGATTAAAAAAACAAAGTCTGCCAAATGTTTTTATTTTTATAACGTACCGAGCAAAAATTGACAGACGGAACAAAAGTATGAAGACGTGTCATTAAGGCAGCAACACTTCCACCACCAAAGCCTTCACTTCATAGTTTCCACATTCTTCCACAGCCAGTGCGCTCTGCAGGCGACTGATCTGGTCTGGACTCGGAGGCGGAGACTCGTATTGGAGCCGTAGCCAGGACTCACCTGAAAGTACACACAAGTCAGTACACACATGGAGGGTCCAACGAACCCGGAATCATCATCCTCGTCAACGTCATCGTCTAGCTCTAACCTTTGCTGACCCTCTGACCCAGCGACACCAGTAGCTCCGCCCCCACGCTGTGATTGATAGGTCCATCTGCTGTCGATCGCCCCGCCCCCAATTCATTAAGAACTTTAGCCAACGTCAAACCGCAGACATCCACGACGACACCTGCAGCAACCCGGAAAGACAACGGATTTATTTAGTACACGTCAAGATGAAACTTATAACTTTATGTGTTTGCAATGATTTTTCCAAAAATTGTAGGTAAAAATATGTTAGTAAATATATAAACAAATAAGTGAGTCAAAATCTTTCTTTTGTCTACGTATTTACCATCTGCTAGCGTCTCCAGTTCCATCTGATGCTGGGACTTCCCCAGGACGGTGTGGTAATCCGCATGGGCGGAGCACAGCATCAGAGTCGTCTCACTGGCCACGCCCTGAGCCTCCATCATGGCCTGGAACTTGGCGAGCGCAGCTCCACCATTCACAGCATCAAAAATCTGCCTTCTGCCATCCAATTCGTCGGACGCCATGCCAGTCATCTGCAGCAAGACGCCGCCTACAAAGCAGCAGCACGATTTCACGCAGGTTTATTTCTCTTACTTTTATTCATTTAGACTTTAGATACTTCAGGGGACAAAGAGACGGTCGTTACCCAGAGTGGTGACCAGCTCCATCAGGTCGGCGGGGCCTCTCCCTTTCAGCGTCTCCAGGGACTCCATCACCTCCAGACTGTTGCCCACAAATCGACCAATCACAGAGTCCATCCGGCTGAGGACGGCGGCCGTAGGCATGTCCAGGCCCTTCCCCACGCTCACCTTACATATTATATATCATTAACATTATTATTCAAACATAGCAACAGTCTCAAATATTTGCTGTTTTTCTTGTCTTCAATCATAGTGAATATATTAGTTTGTCCGTCAGAGATAAACGTGATTGTCTGGACCGCATGTTCTGGGGCACTTTTTGGCTTTATTTTTGATTATGAAGACCATAAAATATAAAAAGACAGTTCATGATGTTTCGCCACTGACAGCATGACATAATATAACTATTATATTGTATATTGATGCTGAACACAATCTACATGGAGCCTCATAGTCAAACATGCTGCCTGCGCATTACTACACATTAGTACGATTAATACTTCCAGCCGACTTACTAATAACTGTGCTAGTTCTCTAGCGCTGTCCAGGTCTTTACAGAGAGCACCTCGTCCAAACTTCACATCCAGAACCAGAGCATTGAGCGACTCGGCTCCTTTCTTTGAGATGATGGATCCTGAACAAACACAAACGGCTCAGTTCAGCAGAGCGGCTCCGGTGGAATTGTTACTACGGATTTCTTCTAACGGACTCCAGCTGTCATCAGAATGAATAAGGACATTTCTCAATGAGACATGAAGAGTTGAAACAGAAATAAACGTAAAAGACGGTAAATACATGTATTAATAAATGAATACAGACAGGTTATTAATCAATTATAACTATTACAACTATTTACGTTTGTATCTGTCTGTTTATTTTTAAATCAGCCTGAATATATATATATATATATATATATATATATATATATATATCCTCCATGGATTGACACCTGTTCAGTACCAGCAATCAGGGGCGGGCTGTCCACGGTGCTGGTGACGTCCCGCCGAGCATACAGGACTCCATCCGCAGGAACCAACGACTCCGTCTGACCCACAATGCAACAGCCCACAGAGTGCAGGATCTCCAGGATCTGCACAGTCAGCACATTTAAAGCGCCAACAGGTAGCACAATGCCGAGGGGCAGACAGAGAAGAATATGTCAAATGTGTCTGATGATGACAAATAATCGGTATTTGTTGTTAGATGTACTACTATACATCTCTACATTTGAGTGTCATTATTTCTACACTGTGTTTTTTCTTGCACCTTAGACGTCGGCTGGTCGACTTGGAATCCTGGAATCGATTCCAGCTTATCCAGAGTCCCTCCCGTGTGAGCCAAGCCCCGCCCACTGATCATGGGCACCTGAGGAACAGACCGGGGTCATGACATCATAGAGGGACGAGTAGATGCACAGGCGTGACGAGGCGGCCGTACCTTGCAGCCACAGGCGGCGAGCGCGGGCGCTAACACCAGACTGACTTTATCTCCAACTCCTCCCGTCGAGTGTTTGTCAACCACCAGCCCCGCCCACTCGTCTGGCCATGACATCACTTCCCCCGATGACATCATCTCCCGGGTCAGGGCCTGGATCTCCTCTTGGACCATTCCCTTGTGCCAGATGGCCATCAGCATGGCCCCTGTGGAGGCAAAATGTGTCTTATTGTCCAACATGAATTCTTATTTATATAGTTAGAATCCGTTTTAGAGGAATTGGGTAAGTAGGGATATAAGTATATTAATATATCCTTGTGTCGGGGGAGAATTGTTGAGCTGCATATTGTGAGTCTCTCAAGAACTCGGTGTGTGACCTTTCTTGGGAAAACTTGTGAGCTGACCTAGTTCACGATGGCATCCTGTGGAACCCAAAGGTGCCTCGACTGATCCAGATCCTGTTTCTTCTCTGCCTGTCAAATATGATTGACTGAGCCACATTAAGGGGGGGTCACGGGCGTCTCCCTACGATGGTTTCCTCAACACAAACCTCTCCCAAGTGTAGAAAAACTGTTCCCCCCAAGACGCTTGGTCAGATCTTCCTGCTCCTCTGAGGGAGAAGGAACAATCTGCCCCTTTTCAACTGAATGGTGGTCATTTGACTCCCGTCTGCACTTACGGCTTGCGTTGATGATTTCTGTATATTTTATGATTTTTCTATTTTCTAGTTAGTAATAACTACTTAATCACAAACGAGTTTATGATACTTTTCATTTCTCACGAGGGTTTAATCCACGAATTTCCACCACACCTTGTAGATGAGTTCCAGGCTAACAGAGGGAAGGGAGAAGCTAACAGGAGGCCCACAGACCGGTATTGTGAGACGCCAACTGGGCAGGGATGCAGAGATGTGGAGAGACAGGAGACATCGTGACGCTGGATGGCAAAAGGTTGAGGACAAGATAGTGTAGAGACAGCAGCTGTGGGACAACGTCCTCATGTGTGTGTGTGTAGACGCGAGGAGACAACCGACCAGACTGAGCCAGTTAGTTTAGCATCAACAACCAGGTGGAGAAGTGAAGGAGAAAAACAACAACAGGAGGAGGGTCACGCAGTACGGATCGAAGCGGAGGGTCAAAGACATTTAGAAATGCTCCAATAAATCTCTGTGAATCGAAGAATCCAAATCTCCAGTGTGTTCTATGGGAGTGTGTTACTGAAAGTCCCTGTGAGGATGCGAGGGCCGTCATCTCGAGTCAGATAGATGAAGTCAGTGAGTTAGAGAACAATTAGAAAATAGTTAAAACTATGAATAAATGAATCCACAACACCCCTGAGCAGAGAAGCGGAGTCACGGCCTGGTGAGGTGTTGGACTGGAGAGGGAAGCAGTCGTACCGGTCTGACATTCCTCGATTGTTTTGTCTGTGACGCAGCGGATGAAGGTTCGGATCTCCTCTCCACTCAGCGCTCCTCCGTCTCTCTTCTTCCTGATCAGATCTGGCATGGACGTCATGTTGAGCTGCAACTACAAGAAGCAATCGATTACAAGATGATCGTATGACCCCAGCATCAAAACTGTGAACGAGATTCAACCAAGATTCAATTTTAATCACATTTCATGAAGCTTTATGCAGATGTCTACACAAAGACAGCAGGACAATCCAACATGAATGCAGCAGTAATATTAATGCAGAAACTGTTGGATCTAAAGTGTAACATTTGAAGGCGTTGTTACGCATGTCTCTGTATTTAGGTAGCCTACCAGTCCTGGTGTTCACCCCGCACACTGAGGTGTGTTGATCCTGCATGAAGCAGTCCCAGGTCAGGAGTCCACCGGGCAATGGGAGAGCCCGGAGGAGGAGGAGACTTACAGCCAATGACTTTCCTTCTTTTTCGGTGAAGCGTACAGTAATGCTTAACATTTGCACCCGGGGGTTCTCTCTACTGCTTCCAGCGCAGCCTCATGACTCGAGCTTCTGGGATGTGACCTCTACTCTAAGGGAGGGTGGCGTCATTCTCAGAGAGCCAGTGGCCCCCGGCGATGAGATGATCAGTCTGAGGCGGACGAAGGCTATAGTCATGATACAAGTTATACAAGTTGTGTTGAGGAATATTTCAGTTTTCAGAGAAAGATAAATGAGGTCAGATGTGTGACTGGTGCAAAGTATAAATCAGACATTCTGTTAACAGGTGACGCGACCACAACGATGGTAGAAGAAGGTAGAAGTATGAAAATACAAGGAGGCATATCTGTCCCTGGGCTCCACGAGTGTGTGAGAGTCTTCAAATAGACAGACAGCACGAAGCCCCCTCCACCCCCCCGATCATGTGACTATAATCAGAAAATAGAAATGTATAGAAATTAAATGAATTTATTGCTATTTTGTTTTCTGTAGAATAATAAGTGAAGTAAAAAAGTGAGGTAATATGTTATTTTAGAAAAATAATATTTTGTAGAATTCATATATTATAATGCAGTTAATTGAAAACAAAGATAATACAAATGGACTACTGCTCCAGTAGAAGGCTCTTTGTTCATTATTTACGTGACCTGTTATTGTTTCCTCTTTGTTTCATTATCTGCGTTCGCCATGTTTGTTTAAATACTTAAATACACTTTAAAAAAACCTTTGGGCTGTCATGGGTACTAGTATCACGCACAGGCAACCGCCAGTTACCTGCTAAGCTAACGTACGGGGGCTAACATTAGCAGAACTGTTGGAGAGAGTGTTTGACTGTTTGGAATGCAGAAGAAAACAGGTTCAAACAGTCGAAGTGGAGCAACTGGTGACGCAATACATCACATTACATCACATGTCATTTATCTGACGCTTTTATCCAACGCGACTTACAATAAGAACATTTCCACCATAAGGAAACAAACTCAGAAGAACAGGAAACAAGAAAGAACAGTTTCCTCAAATAAGCTGCTGCATTCTGGATGAGCTGCAGAGGTGGAATGGTGGTAGCAGGAGACCTGCAGGAGGGAGTTACAGTAGTCCAGGAGGGAGACGACAAGAGCCTGAATCAGTACCTTCTGAGTGAGAAGAGGACGTGTTCTCCTGATGTTGTAGAGCGAGTATCTACAGGATGGTGTTGTCACCATGCGAGCGCAGAGAGAGTTGGTGTAGAGCGAGAAGGGGACCCAGGACGGAACCCTGAGGAACTCCCGTAGTAAGAGGACAAGGTTCCGACACAGATCCTCTCCAGGTTACCCGGTAGGTGCGTCCGTCGAGGTAGGACCAGAGAAGGGAGAGAGCAGAGCCTGAGACACCAAGTTCCTGAAGGGAGGAGACGAGGATCTGCTGGTTGACTGTGTCAAATGCAGCAGAGAGGTCCAGAAGGACGAGGACAGAGGAGAGAGAGGAGCTCTAGCAGTGTGGAGGTGCTCTGAGACAGCGAGGAGAGCAGTCTCTGTGGAACGGCCTTGAAGCCTGACTGGTGGAGGTCCAGGAGGTTGTTACGGTGGAGATAGGAGGAGAGTTGGTTAAAGATCGCACGTTCAAGGGTTTTGGATAAAAAGGGAAGAAGAGAGACCGGTCTCTAGATTTACCGTAGGACGTCAGGACGCGACCAGCAGCGCCCTCCGGTTTACATCAAGATTTTGTAATATTCTATGAACATTTTAGGATTTGAATCTTTCGCTTTTCATATATAAATTTTATATTAAAAAAAGGCCATAAGACCAGTATTGTTTGTGGGTCACGTTCGGGGTCGTCGTGGCGTAGAGGTAGACAGGGTGCGCTGGCAACTGCAAGTTTGGTGGTTCAAGTCCTGGCTGCCCCATGTTGAAGTGTCCTTGAGCAAGACACCTAAGCGCTAAATGCTCCTTGGGCAAAAATGTAAAAAGGGTTAGGATCAAAAATGCAATGTAAGTTGCTTTGTATAAAAGCGTCAGCTAACTGACCTGTAATGTCTTGCATGTGATATATGTTTGTAATTATATAATCACAGTTTGTGCCTTAGTGTCACCGTTGTATCATTCATTTATTTTTTTTACATTTTTATTTTTCATAAAAAAGATGTTACAAACAGATATTAACATGAAACTTTAATAACCGACGTTAAGATAATTACTGTTTGTAATGTGTGTAAAATGTTATGTATTAACATGTAAACAAGGCTTTATCTAACAACTCCTTTAGGGGACTTTTGGAAAAATCTACAAATGTAGATGAAAAACTATTAAATAAAAACACCTCAATGGGTATTATGTTTTATCTGTCAAATTATTTTTTTAAAGACAAAAAAACACTGAACGCGAAAGAACTGACGGGAAAGAAGAGTTAACTTTGTAATAAATGACAGTTTATTATAAAGATTACAATCTGTTGCGTTGCAGAGCCCATCAGTTGTCGTTTGTGTGCTCTTCGTTTTTAGAAAAGGGAAGAAAATAAACTACAAGTGCACACACACCACTCACTCCAGAAGAAACTACAAACATACTGTAAAAAGAGGAAGCTAGAGAGGAGGAGGAGGAGGAGGAGGAGGGTAACCATTAAACCATTATAACTAGGTGAATATCAGGAGGAGGAAGGTTTCACTTGCAGGTAAGAAAGCCAGGATTCTCAGCCAATCAGCAGGAAGCCGAGGCGTCGCCATGGTAAACAACATCAGATGGTGGCGGCGGCCATTTTGGTTGTGAGCTGTATTTTTTGGGGCCGTTTCAGGAGGCTAAAAGTAGATGTTTGAAAACGAGACACAACCTATTTTAATACAGCTTTTTGTTAATCTTCCGACTAAAGAAAGAAAATATATTTTAAGCATAAAAAAGTGATACAGAGTGGCTGCTGTCAATGACTACGTTTACGTGCACAGAAATTTTCTTTTGTGCCAGAAATTATAATACGTGGCTCATGAAAATAAATATCCCTCCATATCTTACGTCCTACAATTAATATCAACATATGACACGTATTAATTCAGAGTATCCTAACAGACTGTGCTGTTTCAGCACATTTTTGTAATAATAGTGGAATATTAATGTGCATGTAAATGTTTTCACTGTTAGATGCTTATATCACTTCAAATGTGGGAATTACAAGGGATCCGTTTATGTTGTTTCTTAATGTCGAATGATGTTAATGATGTTAACTATTAGTATCTAAGAAAGGAACTACTTTTTCCAGCGGAGGAACGCGCTTCCGATTTACTCGCGGCAGGTTTTGCTGGTTTCTGATTGGCTGAGAAATCCTTCGATAAGCAAACAAGCTTGTCTGTCTGCTCGGGGTATAATGGAAGCTGAGGTCACATGACCTCTCCATCGCTGACTCCCTGTCACACCTTGACATTTGGTGGAGGACTGTGCACAGTAGACCACAGTCCGTTACAATATATACTACATAAGGTTTATATGTGATAGCCACTGAGCGTAAACAGCTACGTTCTCTTTTTACTGGCGTTGAAGGTCACGTTAGCGAACATCGTGGGCGGGTGAAGGCATCGGGACATCGACGAGTCTGCACGTTTTTAAGGTTTGACTTTTTTGCAACTCTTTGGAGACAATTGCGATCTGATGAACTCGGCGTTCGTCCAAGTCAATGAACTCAGTTTGTTCGCATCATATATTATCAACGTGACCGGGTTCGTTTCAGAGTATTAACACTTTCTGGCTTCAACGCGCTTATTGTAAATATTCAACATCTCGATGTTTGGACGTAAGAAGTCAAATTTTAACAATGTGTCTTTAAACAGATTCTCCTTGTTCATTCACATGAAGAATTCTGCTGTTTTTTGGGACCAGAAGCGTTCTGTTTTTAGTCTGAGTGTTGTTGACAACACATTCAACCAATACACAGGAAGAATTATCCGTTGCCCCGGACCGTTTGTAATGCATAAAAAGAAACGTGATCTTTGAAAGATAAAATAGCCAAAAAAAGGCCAAGCATGGCCGAACGTTTGTGATGTGAAAGTTCCATGTAATTTTCTTCACAATTGTTCATACGAAGTACAAATTGATTGTCACATTAATATATTTCTATTCAGAGAAGATACAAAAACTTTAAACCGCCTGAGACCCAACGATTGTCGGCCAGATGCTGTCAGGTGTGAGAGTAACCGGGGTTCCAAGAGACACCTATCTGAGGGCAGATGACATTTTAAAAAGGCTTAAGCTCCAGCAATGAGGTTGTAAACTGTAGTAAAGAACCACCCGACCAACAAAGGCAGAGTTTTAGTTATTCATAAACTTTGATACTTGTAAAATGGTAAAAGCTTAACATAAGTACAATCAAAGAGGGATGTTTCTCTCAGATTAGACCAAACGGGAATAACTACGCCTGCAACATACGGTAATGAATTGATGATATGATGATGTCACTGTCGACATTAATGACCTCACACGAGTTAGTTAAGTTACTCTCTGAGTGTGAGGGTTTAACAGCTGATGTGTGGCTCAATACAAAGGCTGAATATCGCACTAAAGCCCTAATAGACTACGGTCTACTAAAATATTACTGTATACATCTTATTGTCTATTATACTTTATATATTACACTATAGCTACATTATTCAACCATAATATATTATACAGGCTATAAAGTCTACTGTAATGCGCCGTACAAAGACTATACCTTCTATACCTCTGTGAGGTAATACCTTTTCACATAAAAGGGACCCGTGAACTTGCAACTCGATAGTCGTGATTGGGCTTCAGCTTGAATGCAGGTACTTCAGTCAGGAATAACTGCCTTGATAAAGTAGGTTTGTTGCTGTGGAAACAGGCACTGGAGCGTTGATTGTGCTTTGAGAGGCGGGACTGGAACTTGTCAGGTAGTTTATCTAGTTCAGGTTTAGCAATGTGACAAAGAGTTGGGGAGTATTATCTGTTTTAACAGAGCTTGTGAGTGAATAAACACACCTTTTGGGACTTGCAGGGAACTCTGATTTACTATATTTAACTCTATTGCGTGCAACAACATAGAGGTACGTGGGTTTTAACGATTAAAAGGTACCTCAGTACGGTAAATGTACTTAGTTACGTTCCACTGCTGCTAGCTAACAAGATACAACATGTAATTCTGACAAATTGGCGGTGGTAAGGTGCATTTTCACTTCTGATTTCAGCCGCGTCCAGTCTGTGTGCTAAGCTAGGCTAAAACCTCTGCGCTAAGCTAGACTAAACCCGCCTTTCCTGGACGCAGAGACAGGGGTCAACGGTCTCCTGGTAAGACGGCAAAAGAAGCGACCGGTTGTTTAAAAGTAGTGTCCACAGATTTTGCATAATGTGGTTTAAGTATAAAGTGCGTCAGCTAGCAGAGCAGTAGCATTACAAAACGTTTTAATCGTAAAGCTTGATTAGAATTCTTTATTTTAGGGCTGGCGATACATCGAGATTGTTTTTTCACACAAAGCTCTGAATGTCCATTGACCTCATCATTTTCTTTTTTGTTATGGTATGTTGTTCAAATGTGCATCACGGTGCTCTTTGAATGCTGCTCCACCAACCCGGTAATACAGGTTCTTTGTGATTTCAAAGGCTAAAGCCCAAAAATATGAATCGAAGCAGAATACTTCCAGTGCAGTGGTATAAAATTAGGTGTGATTTCCGCCCGTAATGTAAAGTTTAACTTTTTGTGTAGCTTTGTGAGCCGGAATAAACCCTTTGTGCGAAGCTCTGCATTAAAATTGAATTGGCAACAAATTTAGGAGGAACCACATTTTCACTCGTAAACTAACACATCGTAATCAGGCATCTGTTGAGGCCTGCTTTTAACTCGGGGAAACCCTACGTATGTTCTGGAGGAAACTCCACTTATGGCAGGGAAATAAATCCCTAATATGGCAAGGAGGAAACTCCATATATGGCCTGGTCCTGGCAGGTACAGCCACACTTGAGGGACTATTTAGGAACACTAGATTTAAGGGAAGAGGGGTTTAAGCTGAGAGTGGTTGTGTTGGTGCGAGGAAGGAGGGGAAGGTATTTTTCTGTACAGATGGCTTTAAACAGATAGCACCATGTACAGTAAGCCCTCAATAAGCAGGTTAGAAACCAGTTGGAGCTCTGCTGCAGCTCTCCCTGAAACACACGGCACGTCAGCACAAAGTCACACTCATTGACAAATCATCAGGGATTTCAAAGGTCACCGAAACAACCTCTGAAATTGAACTCATCGTCAAATCATAGGGAACTCAAAATCGTTTTTTCCATACTATTATAAACTTTGTAAAGTCATCACCATCACGTTATTATTACTTGTTACTCGTAAAATTCTAAATGATCTGCGAACTAAAACAGAAAATGTCTTCATGGGTGATATTCGGAAGAAAAAAAGACAATCACAAGAAAAAGACGGAGTAATATTCTCCACTGATCCCCCGATGTTATCGGTAAGGAGGAGACTGTTGCTCGCAAATAATGTCCGGCTGAACTCGTCTGGGGAAGCGGAATGGCGCGAGGAAAAACAACCCTTCTCGTTATATTTATCAGTTTGTCGGATCAGCTCTTTGATCAATGACCCCCGATTAGCTCAGTGAGCTAATTAGTCAGGATTTCAATAACCCATTTTTGTTTCTTTTTGTGGCGTAACAACATTGCCCGGATGGTCGCAGCTTTAACTTAAATTTCCTTCTCTTCAACTTCTGTGCAGTGGAGGTTGATTTACTTGGCGGTAAAGTCTAAAGCGCTTGAGCTTTGACCAACAAGGTGCGCATTGTTAGGGCGTCTACACATTGGAAATGACGGCTATTCTAAAAACGTAAAACTTCAGAGCAGCCAGGATGACTCACTGGGGATTTTAAAATAGAGGCATTTAATTGGGGGCTTTTACGCAATATACACGAGGCCCTAGACCCAGAGGTCAAACTGAATCGAGATATGAAGTAAGAGATTGGGGCTTCCAGTCCACTTGGGGTTGATGAAAGAGCTGATGAGTCAAAGAGCTGAAGTCCACGTTGGTAAAACGGTCTCAGTCACTGCTAAGATATTCTAGTCAGAGAGATGACATGACCAGAGGCCTTATGAGGTCGCAGTTCGGGATGTCTAGAGGTCAGTGGTCGGAGGTTAGATGTCAAGTGGAACCATCCAGCAACTGCCTGAGGGCCCTCTCGATGTTGATCCGGTGCCCCAGTCTGGTGACGCCCAGCTCCACGTAGTCCTCCTTGGTGAGGGCGGGCAGGTGGGAGCCCTCGATCTCGTGCTCCTGGAAGCGTTGGCGGTGCTCGGCCAGGCCCACGCTCTCCAGCCAGTCGCCCACATCGTACTTATTCCACAGGCTGAGGGGCCGCTGCCTCCACGGCCGTAGGGCCAGCAGGGGCCCGCTCAGCACTGGGGACGGGCAGGGCGAGGCGTGCGGCGAGGGCGAGGGCGAGCGGGACCTGGTCCGCGCGCTGGCGCTGCGCATGACAAAGCGAACCTCCTTGGGCTCCGAGGGGAGGCTGAGGCTGGACGACTTCAGAATAGTGAGGCCGCGGCCCGAGCTAAGGTCGGGTCTCTCGGAGCAGGGGGCGGTGGAGGAGGCGTGGCCTATCGACCTGTCGGACGGGGAGGGGGAGGGGCTCCGGCGGGTCACGGGGTAGCGGCTCCCCGGTCGGACCGTGTAGCTGGCGCCGTATCCCCTCTGGGAGATGGTGTGGAGTTCGCCCAGACTGGAGAACAACCTGCAACACATCACAGCCCGTATGAACGAGTCGCTCCCATAGGTCAAAGGTCGTCATCCTCACCAGCACAGGACAGCAGAGCTAACGTGACCCTGAGCGCCTTAAGCCCATTCCTGCTTGTTAGTCGGATGTATCAATGTCTGCGGCTTTTGTTGGAGCAGTTAAAGTGAAAGACGGGTCTCGCGTTATTGGTTTCAGACGTTGGTAAAAGGCCTAAAGCCACATGTTGAGAAATACAAAGCATGACAGGCCTTGTTGCAGTTGCTAAGCGGTAATTGGACAAGTACGTTTGGGATTAAGAAAATGTCCCATTCCAAGGTTGCATTAAAACGACGGATGGGTCAGTAGTTAGTAATTAAGTGTTAGTCAGCCGGTAGCAAATGAAAATCACCCCGTAAGCGATAACGAGAAATGTTTACCAGAGATAAAAACCTACGATTCACTGCCTTCACTGTCCGCACATCTGGAACAACACAAACAACAGGTTCCATTACAACACACAGACGCACACAGACGCACACCGTAGACCTCTGATCAGCCACACTGCAGTGTTTACGGTCGGAGGCGGCTGGCAGTACCTTGCACCTCCTACTGGGGACCTCCGGCCCGGATCAAGGGGACTTGGCTCCTCTCCGAGTGAGTGACTGTCTTTATTTAGCAGCTGCAGCCGATTGGCCAGATCCAGTCCAGAGCCCGCCCTGCCGCTCAGCTCCAGCGCTGACGCCGACCGGTTGCTGAGGTCCGCGGCGGACGCCGACACTTGACCTCCCAGCGCAGCCGGACGCCCGCCTTCGTCCGGGCCAAAGCCCCGCCGCTCCTCGCGGTCGTCCCCGCCCCCCCACAGCTTCGACCTCCTCTGGAACAGGTAACGCGGCTGTCGTCCACCGCCGCCGGTAGGGGAGGAGCATAGCGGGGAGGTGGGGGAGGAGGCGGACACGGCCGACGGGAGGAGCTCGCTGTCCGACGACTGCTTCAGCAGCGGGTCACGGAGCGCGGAGCGGCCTCGACCTATAGGTGAGCGCAGGCGGGGCTTGAGACCGATGGGGGAGGTGGAAGGGGAGGACGGGGAAGGGTGAGCGACCTGTGGGGAGGAGGGATCCGCAGGGGAAGCCAGGGTGATGGAGGGAGGGAGGGAGCTGGGGGAGGAGCTGTCGTGGTGTCGTTCGTCACTTCCTTCCTCCTCATCTCCTCGTCTACCCGTGGATTCAGCACCACTCTCGCCTCCCCCCTCCCCAACTCGCCGTGGCAACAGGCTGAGGGAGGACGGGGGAGGCAGAGCGGGAGGACTGGCGAAGGCAGCGGGTGGGGTCACCAGGCCGATTCTGCGAAGCTCCTCCCTAGTTTCTTCGTCACTGGACGACAAAAGCGCTGGTGGGAGGGTCACTGTGTAAGCCCCGCCCTCTTCCTCTGAGCTGCCCACTGTGAGGCTTCTGCGCCTGTCAATCAGAGCAGGGTGACTCTCGTTGGCCAGCGGAGGCAATGGGGTGGGCCTCCAGCGCTCAGGGGAGGGGGCGGCAGGTGATGTCACTCCTCCCTCAGTTTCCGGGCGCTCCACCTGTCCGTCAGGGAACAAAGGCGGGGTCATGCGTTTGTGCCTGAGCTCAGGACTGGTCTGCGGAGTGGTGCGCTTGGCGCGTTGCTCGGGGCTCGTCTGCGGGGTGGTGCGTTTGGACCGGGGCTCGGGGCTGCTCTGCGGGGTGGTGATAGGGGTGCGCTTGTGTCTCCCCTCGGGGCTGGCGGCGGGGGTCGGGACGGGTGTGGTGGAGGCAGAGACGTGTTTTAATCTGGGCTCTGGGCTCGGCGTTCGGGCAGTGAGCGCTCGTTCGCGTGCAGCAAGTGCCAGGGCGAGTGGAGATGAGGGGTCTGAGGACAGAAGAGAACATTTTAGTTCCTAGTACCTAAAGACTCCAGCCTAAGACTTCTGTCCGAGGTTATCCGCTCTTTTTTTACGTATCTTCTATTTTGTGTAAACATCAATGATCTCCGCCAGATCCAGTTATACTTCCTGGAGTACCTCAGGGCTGTGATTTAGGTCCCTTTTTGTCTCTTGACTATTGTAACAGAAGGAATGTGAGCGACTGACCCAGAGGTTTCCCGGTCAGCGGGTGGAGGAAGGTGTGGGGCGTCGGCGAGGGCGACAGGACCGGAGCCGGCGGAGGAAGCTCGCCGAGGTCGTCCATGGAATGGCTGAGGGTCAGCAGGGGTGGCACCTGGTTCTCCGACCCGGACCCCTCCACCGACAGGAAGAGAGACGACCTGCGACCCTGAACGCGAGCGCGTTCCGACAGGACCTGCTGCTGGTAGAGCTCCGCCCGACTCGGGCTGCCGTGTCCACCTCCATCCACCTTCAGCAAGTCCAGGTCTCTAAGTCCTGGAAGAAGAAGAAGAAGAAGATATAATAAGAGAAATACCACAATGAACTTGAACGTGAATGCTGATTTATAATTTGAATGTCCACGTTATGAATGAAGCTTCATATTTGGTACAACTTGGATCTTTGTGCTCACAACATGTTGATGTACATGAAGAAATCACAAACGCGTTAATAAGACTGACCCTGCTCCTCAACAGGAAGTTGTTTTAACAAAGGCGACTTCCTCCTCTGGGGCTTGGAGGGCGGAGCTTGCTGTCCCACGTTGGCGTACGGGTTTTCTATTGGTCGTCCTCGTCGGCGTGAAAGTGGCGAATGGCCGAGGGCGGGGCTGGTGCTGTGCAGAGACAGCGTGGAGGTGTGCGTGGGGGTGTGATGGGTGGTGGTGGTGGTGGCGTGCGTAGCCGTGTGCGTAGGGGTGTGATGCGTGTGCGTGGAGGTGTGCGTAGGGGTGTGATGCGTGGCGGTGTGCAGTGCGTGCGCGGCGGCGTGGGCGTCGGCCTGCAGCTGCGGCGGCGTGTCCTGCAAGATGATCATCGACCTCGCCTTCCTCTGACGCTCGGCGTGGGCGTGGCTCCGCGTTGGCGAATCGCAGAGCTCCTGGAGCCTGGGCTCTGCCCCCGGCTTGAAGCTGGAGCGGGTCAGCCCCTCCCCTCTGGCCGGGGGAGGGGGCGGGAGGAAGGAGGGAGGAGGGCCGGAGTCGAGGAGGAAGAGCGGCGAAGTGGAGGAGGAGGAGGCTGAAGGAGGAGGGGGCGGAGCCTGTTGAGGAGGAGGAGGGATGAAGCTGTCCGTCAGCGAGGAGCTTCGCGGGAACCGACTTTCATTGATCAGAGCTGAGATCCTGTCGTCCTCGGGCGTGCCTGGAACCAGGAGACAGGGAAATAATACAAATACACCCTAAAATGTACTTAAAATTGGTAAATAACATTTTGTAAATAATTTAATTTATTGAATTTAAAGAAACAAATTATATTAATCATTAATACATGTGAAAAAAGTCAAATGTTAAATACTTATTAAATAATAAAATTTAAAAAATACAATACTACTTTGACCATACATTGAAGGCATATATAATAATGAAGATTTATTTTCAGTGAGGAGTAGTATATAAATTAATAATAAGTATGTTAAATACTGTGTGCAGGTCTCACCAAAGCTCTTGGTTCTGGACATCCCTCGAGGTAAAGCCATGGTGCTTTTCTGAGGCGCCGACGGCGGCACGAGACCCTGCCGCTCAAACAACGACTGCAGACGCAGACACGGTCGAGCGTTTACTCACAAATGTAATGTGACGGTTGACAATGAAAAGTCGCATCTCCGTTATTGAGCTGGAAACGTCTTCTTCATCTTTCATCTTTCACCCAAACATACGTACATATTCAACAAGAAATGATAATGAACTGGATTAAATCAGAGAAATTAGAAACGTTTCTGTGGCTCCGCCCCTTTGAATTGTCTCAGGATCCCTCAGATTTATCTCTCAACCCCTTTTTGGGGTCGCAACCCCTAGGTAGGGAAACGCAGAGGCACATGACCACAAGCCGGGCTTGAAACTACTTTTTTACCCCTTTAAAGCAGAAATAAAGTCATTCAGATGAAGCGCTATGAAGCCTGTGTACGGTGCGGCGTTGCCTTCGTCTCACGTTAATCTCGGCTTGCGTGATGCGGCGGCTCGTCGGCCTCTGCTTCACCGTCGCCGCCCTAAAGTCGTCCGACGGTCGGCCCCTCAGGACGACTTCCTGCTGACCTCCGGCCAACATCTCGTCCAGCTTGTCTGGATGAAGCAAAGAAAAGAGGATGAACAAAAGGGCAAATATAACAAAACACTGAACAATGACATCACAACCAACCCACGACATGACATCACTACACGGATCCCCAGACACAACATGACATTATTTTAACATCATAATGTCATTGCAACATGACCAACATTATCGTCACCACAGCTTTACGTCACAACAACAAATGAAAGCCACAAAATCAACCACAACGACGTCATCGGACCCATGTGACTCACCGAAGCGCCTCCTCCTGGCTGCAGATAGAACAAAGGTCAACAACACACACTCTGAGGTGCTAGCGTGTGCGTGTGTGTGTGTGTTTGTGTTTGTTTTACCTATGTCCTCCAGGTCAGCGGTCATTGACTTGGATCGGAGCGTCAGCGAGGTGCTGGGGGCTCGCTTCGGAGGGGGCGGAGCTACAAGACATGAACCAACCTCAAGATCTCAAGTTCAGGCTGATTTATTACGCGTTTTGTCACCACACTAAATTTGCTTTTTGTGTTTCATCTCACGCCTCGGAGAAGTCAGGTGACAAAGATCGAGAAAGAAAAGATGGACTTTTCGCCCAACTAACCAGTTAGTTATTTCCCTTTCACGTATTCAGGGATAAATTCTGTCTTTGTAAAACTTGTAAAACATGTAACAGATTTAAATTCATACTAATGGTTAATTTCAAATGGATGTAATCAATGTAAAGAAACCCCACAAGCGTTGAAAAACATAATTCAATATAAATGGATAAACAACCTTTCTTCCGGACCAGGTTAGTTTCAGATTTCCTGGAAACCGAAACGACCTTCATCAGCAGTCGACTCCCCCCCTGTCGGATCAGAGAGACCACCTGACGGTGCCCCACCTTCACCACGTCGGCGCCGTTCACCTGTGCGACACGCAGACATGTGAGCCACCAGAAGCCCTCGTGTTGGGTGCCTCGCGTCACAGGACCGGCCTGTACCTCTATGAGGAAGTCCCCGGTCCGTAGCCCCGCTCTCCAAGCCACGCCCCCCTGGTCCACCGACTCCAGGTACTGCAAGGCAGGGAATGCCGGCGTGGGGGCAAACTCCTCAATGGGGGTCTCGGCTTGAAAAATAGGGGGGGGAAAAAGGCGACGGTAAAAGGTGAAGTGAGATCAGAGCTTCAGGAGTCAAAGCTGCATTCTGTGTAGGGACCAGCAGGGGGCGACTCCTCTGCTCCCATAGACGTCTATGAGGAAATGACTCTACTTCTCTGTAGTGACCAGCAGGGGGCGACTCCTCTGCTCCCATAGACGTCTATGAGGAAATGACTCTACTTCTGTCTTGATTTATTCCCTCAGTAAACATTGTAGAATCAAACAGACCATAAAGCAGGGGATGCTTTGGGGCGGGGCTACACAATGATTGACAGGTCTCTACAGGTCTTATACGGTAACTTCCAGGTTGCCAAAAGAAACGGCCGCAATGCAAGATGACTTGAGGCTTCAAAACATCAGGCCCCAAACCAAAGTGTGACGTCACCATGACTACCTCCATCTGGGCCACATCTGGAGCCACTGCTGGATTTGTCCCTTCTGTAGACCCCTCTATTCAAGGCAACAAAAACTATTTCTAATTTCAGGTGATTTTCATCCTTATATCTAAAATGCCTTTAACTGTTACACACCGTCCTTACAGTACGATTCCCGATGCCCCTGTAAGAGTAGTATTTTAAGTAGTACTGCTGCTCTTACAGGTGAGGATGGGGGTTGCACCTCAGGATGAGACTCACTGTTCTTTGTTCTCCTCCACCCACCGCTCCTCCACCCGTCCCCCTGTTCCTACCTTTAGCTCCTCTGAGGACGAAGCCGAATCCTTCGCTTTCCCTCTTCTGCAGCACGGCCGTCTTCTCCTCGATCACGTAGTCGCTGATGGAAAGAAAAGAAAAAGTCGGTTTGCTCGGCTGATTAAGAATTAAAGGAAAATGAAAGAATTCAAAACAAAATGTACAATAAAAAGCGTTTGAAAACTTTGAAAGTTGCAGAGATTAAATTGGCTTAAGTTACAGTTTCTTTTTCCTTTTTCAAACGTATATAAAAATAGAGAAATAGAAAATAAGTGTAGGTAAATAAATTGGTAAATAGAATACGCTATATATGTAACGATGGCGTTCATGTCATGTGTTTCTATACGTGTTGAGTATGACAGCTGTACATGCTTATGTATAATGTTTATACATTTTCTGTGTTTTCAAGTTGTATGTTTTTATTGTGTTAATTACATATATATGTATTATATTATTACATTTCACTGAACAATCTGTTGTCTTTTATAACATATATTTAATTCCCTTCTTGTTCTTGCATTGTAATGTGTTATCATTATTCACTGTATCTCCTGACCTCTTTAGTCATATTGTTTTATTATTTTATTTGTGCTTTAAGGAAATGTGGTCAATAAATAGATGAAAGCATCATATTCTATATAAATGTGGTTTTAGTTACTGGGTACAATGTATTCACTGTGTTATTTATTATTTTGAGTTACTAACTAAGATATTTCCTCTGCATTGCGTCATGTGCTTGTGAAGCTCCGCCCTGCAGTGCTGACGGTGTCCTACCTGTAGGAGGTGTAGTTGTCGTAGGATCCTACGGTGTAATGTCTGAAGAGTCTCTTGGTGCGGTCCTCCCTCGTCTCTGGAACATTCACGCGTGGATCACAGATTCACATACACGTATGTGTGTTACATGTGCTGCACATGTCAGTCAGTACTCACCCAGCCGGGGGTCGTACTGTCTCATCTGGACTTCCTCCACGCACTCGGCAGGAAACCAGCCGGTCCGTCCCTTCACGCTCCCCTCCCAGAATCCTCCTTCCCCTATGGACAGAACTGCAGACCCCCGTCGTGGCGTCAGCGCACCGCCGGGACAGAGACACTAAAGCACCGCCGACCCCACTGACCTTTGACCCTCTCCCCTCGGTGCAGCTGGATCTCCCCGGGCCCCTGAGGGACGTGGGACCGGGTGGCGATGAAGGTGCGTCCTGGCACGGCGCTGTACAGCCTCCTCTTCCTCATCTGGGGGGTTGGCGGGGGGGAAGAAGGGGGGCTGGCCTCCGCGTGGCCTCCCCCGCTCGGGCTGCAGACAGACAGGTGGGAGGGAGACGGGCTGGTCACAGATCTGCGTGAGGCAGCGATGTCACATGAGTCGATCATCAGGAAACCAAGATCGCTGATAATTCCTCTTCAACAGGGGGTCTGTGCTGATACGACATCACAGGCTGCAGCCAATCAGATCCATTCATGTTCACGTCTAAAGAGGGCGGAGCTCAAAAATAAAAGATGGCGGATCAAACTCCGTAGAATAGGGGGTCCCTGCTCCATCTCGCCATCAGTTTGGGCGACCTTGGCATAAAAGACGTTGAAGACCTCTGATCTACGACACTAAACAGGCACTGACTACACCCGTCCATTAACTACACCCGCACTAGTGCTAACAACACCCGTCCATTAACTACACCCGCACTAGTGCTAACAACACCCGTCCATTAACTACACCTGCACTGCTGCTAACTACATCCGGCATTAACTACAGCTGCACTAGTGCTAACTACACCCGTCCATTAACTACACCCGCACTAGTGCTAACTACATCCGTCCATTAACTATACCCATACTAGTGCTAACTACACCCGTCCATTAACTAACCCCGCACTAGTGCGAACTACACCCGTCCATTAACTACACCTGCACTAGTGCTAACTACACCCGTCCATTAACTACACCCATACTAGTGCTAACTACACCCGTCCATTAACTACACCCGCACTAGTGCTAATACACCCGTCCATTAACTACACCCGCACTAGTGCTAACTACACCCATACATTAACTACACCCGTACTCAAGTCCACTACAGCGTTACTGATGGTTACTGCTGAGTATGTTAGAGTATGATAACATGTGTGTGAATATGTGTGTTTCATACATTCATGTTTCCGTGTGTGTGAGTGTGAGGACGTGTCTGTGTGTGTCTGTGTGTGTGTACCTGAGTCGCCGCGGGTGTCGTCGCAGAGAGTGTGTGTGCGTGTCGTGATGCGTCTCCAGGCTTTGGAGCGAG